TATTATTATTATTATTATTATTACTATTATTATTATTATTACAGCACTTGCACCAACACTATTCCTACTGTTATAGTTTTCATCAACACCGCCGTTACTATCACATAAACTACCAGTTCTATCAGGCTTAAGACTTACTACCCTCCTCACCCCGGTCAATGTCCTTACTAAGACTTAAACCACCTGCAACCACCACCATCAGCAACCACCAACCACCAACTATAACCATCACCCACAACCACCACACCACCAACACCACCAACCAACACAACCAAAACACAACAAAACTTTCAGTCACACACACACACACACACACACACACACCCACACACACACACACACACACACACACACACACACACACACACACCCACACACACACACACACACACACCCACACACACACACACACACACACACACACACACACACACACACACACACACACACACACACACCCACACACACCCACACACTACATCAGTATACATACAGGTGTTGAAGATATATATATACAATAATGTTTTGATATGCAGTTTACATATTTTTACGCCCACGTGATGTTTTTATATTTTGTGCTCGTACAACACGACGGCAGTGATATACTGCACATTGTAACAAATTAATAAAGACTACAGGAAAGCGGCGTGGGTGTGGGAGGGCGGTGTTGCAGTGTGGGTGTGGGAGGTGTGGGAGGGCGGTGTTGCAGTGTGGGTGGGAGGTAGAGGGGTAAGGGAGGGGTTGGGGAGGGTGGGTGGAGGAGGTGTTGGTGGTGTGGGGAGATAGAGGGGTAAGGAGGGGTTGGGGGGTAGGGTGGGGGAAAGGGAGCAAGCAAAAGCAGCAGTGGTGTAGAGGGAGGGTGAGGAGCTTGGGGGTGGGGTGGGAGGGTTAAAGGTGTGTGGGAGATAGAGGGGGCAAGAGGGGCCGGGGGTAGGGTGGGGGTGGGAAGGGGTAGGAGGGGTAGTTGTGGGGGGGGTGAAAGCACAAACGAGAAGGACTTTTACAACATACAGATTTTATTCCCGTCTACCTCACTGTCCACCTGTCTGTTTTTGTCTGTTGTTCTGTCTATGGACCATGACAGGTGACCGTTGCTTAATCACCTTAGCAACTAAAGCTGAAGTGCCTTAATAAACAACAACAACAACAACAACAAACAGTACTATTAACACCACCATTTAGAGTAGAAAAGTAAACAGTCGTTCTTGGGCAAAATTGTATCGCTTCGTTTAATTATATTTTAGTTTTTACAATTAATTTAGAAACCATCATCATCATCATCATCATCATCATCATCATCATCATCATCATCATCATCATCATCAACGCCCATGGGATATTAAAACATGTCTACATTATTTATTTCAATTAATATTTTCACCACCAATTTATTTCTGACATAATGCAAATTTTCCTTAAAAAAAATAAAAATACTTAATATTAAAAAGGAAATCCTACACTTTGATATAATATAACTATAATGTATATAACTATTTTATTTCAATATGCTGTTTGCAGTGTGATCGCCGCGTGTCAAGGGGTCAAGGATCATCTTTCTGTCTCATGAGGTAGAGTGAGCGTCCAGCAGAGTCTTATCTTGTTGTATTGGCCTAACAGCGGTAGTTGAGCTCTGCAGTATATTGTATGATGAAACTCCATTGCTAATTTTATAAGTCACTTTTAACTCTGACTTTGCTGAATATTTGTTGTAGATGCAGCTCAAGTATTAGTTATTATTATAGTATAGCAAAACGCAAGTACTAGCAAGATTGGCTATTGAGTTAGGTACTGTTACGTAGAGCTAGTGCGTGTGGCCTTGAAGAAAACCATACTAGCACGGCAAAATGAGCAGCGCCGCAAAAGCGAGAGACCAATATTTTTTTTACCCCAAATCTCGGGGAAAATAATCACACGCCAGTCAGTGCCGTAGGAGATAAGGTCTTGTTGGCGGGGGAGAAGTGGGAAAAAAAAAAAACCTCATTCCTCACAAAGATATTACTCGGTATAATACATGAGTGAGGAGAGGCAGCCAGATGAATGGTCACACAGTTAATATAGCTTTGTCTGACACGTGATCAAGACGTGTTTTAAATTCTGATCCATTTAAAGGTCATATAGGTCAGTGGTTATAAGAAGTGAATTAAATATAGAGGATTTATTTTATTTATGAAACACACACACACACACACACACACACACACACACACACACACCAAAGACCTTTCTAAAATACATAATTCGTAAAAAAAAAAATCACACATTGGACAGTTAACTAGATTGAACTGACTTAATGTTAACTAACTACAACAAATTAACACAGCTCATTATCATCATCACAGAGGCTGCCAAACCTCGTCTCTGCATCCTTGCCTCCCTGCCTCCCTTCTTGCCTCCCTCCCCGAGACACTGTGATTTGGAGGGAGGGAGAGGAGGCAGGTGGGCACTGACCACCCGGCCTGGCCAAACCCAGGTCACAAGCAACCCAGGAGGCTGACAGGGTGAGATCTGGTGTAATGACGTGGTGTGTGTGTGTGTGTGTGTGTGTGTGTACAGTCCTCGTTAGGGAGACAAATCGACTCAGCTGTGACATTACGGTGAATAATTTGATTAGCATCTGGTGTAGAGGGAAGACTATAGTGTTTATCTTGGCTTAAACATGAATAAATATAATAACACACCTAACCTAACCTAACCTTCTCTGTATTTGTATCTCACCTGTACCTGTATTTTCACCTTACCTGTATTTGTACCTGTACCACCCTTCGTGTAATTAATAAATGAAGTACAGTTTACCCCAGGTGTGGAGGCGGGGCAGGTAGTGTGAGAGCCTCAAGCAGGTGTAACACATGTACCTGTATGGATGATGGTTATGTTTACGCTTTCCTACACTTAATGAGGCTGTTGGTAGTTAGGGTAATAATTACTCTCGTTAACACTTAGTAATAGATTATTGAATCTCGGATGTGATTAAAAATGTAATTGCTTCTGTTGATTATTTGCGTAAGGAATTTTCCGATGTTCTTTTGTCAAAACTGAAAATTAGAATGGATATATTTTATCTTCAGTAACTTCAGTGTTAAGCCTTTATTACCTCCAGCCACGGACTCCATGATAAATCCCCCGTAAGAGAAACTGAATGAAAACGTCATAACCCCCAGTGTCCAATGAAATGTATGGATGATATCATTATATGTCCCCTTAACCAATGAAAATCTTGGATGGTGACGTCATATAACTGGGTAACAAATATTAGACATTATTGACGTCACATGAGTCTTTTGCCGGATATAGAGCTTGAATGTGATTGGTAACATCACTTAATATCGGACATATCATTGGTGTGGAAGTTGACGTCATATAATCCCTTCACCACTAATAGGTTTGAAAAATAACGTCACATAATTCCTGGCCATTCATAGGTCTAAGAGATGACGTCATTTGTTTATTATCTTGTGTCACTTGATTTAGAAAACTATGTGACCACTGTTTTTCTCACTTTAGGAATGTAAACAATTATATCCTGTTAATAAACTGCGTAAAAAAGGAAGATATGAAAAGTTATTGATGCAGAAATCCAATAAAATGAAGAATATTTCGTTAGTGAGAAATGTGGGCCGTACGCCGAGGGAAAATACTGAATTAAAATGTCCAATAATCCTGGATTTCTGTGTGTGTGTGTGTGTGTGTGTGTGTGTGTGTGTGTGTGTGTGTGTGTGTGTGTGTTTGTGTGTTCTGCTAACACACACACACACACACACACACACACACATAAACATAGTATGCATACCAAAACTGGGTCAGTAATGATGACAATGAGACGACAAGACTCGCTATCTGTGATGCATCACGTGCAGTATTTGTTGACGCTAATTGGTGCAGTACAGGAGAGGGCAATGTCTTGTACCCTCGTGTGTGTATATATATATATATATATATATATATATATATATATATATATATATATATATATATATATATATATATATATATATATATACATATATACACACACATGTGCACAAGTATAGTTCAAGTGATGAAAGTGATACATATGTACACTTCACGGACGCTATAACCACTATGTAGTCTGAAAAATGAACGAAGAATCTGAAACCATTCCCAGATGTCAAGACCCATTCTGCGTATTCTCACACCCATCGTGCCCAGGTTTTGGAGAAGTCTGGGTTGAGAGTGTACCTTGGTAACCGTGTACATTGATACAGTGACCTAGTTTTATGCCACAAGGTGTACACGGGGTGTAGTGGAGAGCACAGTGACACAGTCACTAGAACGGGCAATGCTGAGAACTACCACAGTTGTGCGTCACAAGCAATCATTATTACTGACTAACTAGACTGCACTCGAGTGAAGTGCCATCTTATTCGGGAGATGCTTGTTGCAGGGCTGTTACCTGTACCTCTGGCCTTGTGACCCTAAACCATAGCAGCTTAAGAGTATCTCATACGACATACAGAACAACCAGGTATGAAGACTGTACCTCCTCCCACTCTCTATAGTTCTGCTGTTGACACATAATTAGTTCCAGACACATATAGAACGTCTGATACAGCCGGTGGTGCTCATTAAGGGGGAAATATAATAATATATATGTGACTCTTACTGCCTCGTGCTCTCTGTTGTGTTATTTGAGGAACATCATGACCTACTAGGTGGTGCAAAACTACCAAGATGGGATACTGTCATAAACTGTTCTTATGACAGCTATTGCCAATCATTCTTGTCGTGACTGCAGCTAAAATGGGGATGTAGAATTGTGGCGAGCTATTCTTAGCGTGTTTACAGGGATGAAACGTGGTTGCCACAGAAGAAACAGTGACATATTCACAACTTCCCTGGTGCCACACTGGCCCTGTTTGGCACCCTGCCCGGGAATATGGTTGTGCGTAAGGGTATGGGCTGGGCGGTGACTAGGGTGGTTCTGGGTGGGTAGGGTGGTGCCCCTCTTTGTAGATGGCGGGTGGCGCTGAGCACACCTGCGGACCATCATCATCATCATCAACACACACACACACACACACACCAGTCAAGAGGGAGGAGTGGCGTGTGTACGGTGGAGCTCCCAGTAGGCTCTTGAGGGGAGTGAGGGAATCATGTGAGTGTACAAGGTTCACACCGCGGGTATAAGTGATGCATTATCGTGGTGCAGTGTACTTCTAAAGTGCGGCAGTGTACGTCTAAAGGTGCGGTAGTGTACGTCTAAAGGTGCGGTAGTGTACGTCTAAAGGTTGCGTCAGTGTACGTCTAAAGGTGCGGCAGTGTACGTCTAAAGGTTGCATCAGTGTGCTTTATAAGTGTGTTAAGTGATGCACCAACACAAATACAGCGACGTGAAATCATCCAGCAACTTATCTCTCAGTAATTCAATAAAATACACAGAACAATTTCAGTGATTCGATAACATTCATACGACGATGTAAATGTTGGAATAACGTACAGTACACAGTCGGGTTTAATGGTTCAGCAACGTACATAGAACGGTGTAAGTGGTACAGTAATGCACATGTATCGTGTATGTAGTAGTGTTATGTACGTAGTGGTGAAAGAAAATACGTACAGCTGTCCGTGTGGTTCAGTAAAGTACAGACAACCTTGTACGTGTAAAAGTATCTCAATCATGTACACCAAATAATGTAAAACGTACATACAATATTGCAATGTCATACAGTAATGCATTAACGTACACACAGACGTTTTACAATGTATACATACACTCGTGCAACAACGTACATATTTTAAGTGCAACGACGTATTGATATGAGTGAAATGACGCACACAAGGTAGATAACTACGTACATGCGGTAGATAACAACGTACATACAGTAGATAACGTACATACATGCAGTAGATAACGACCTACATACAGTATACAATCACGTACATGCAGTAGATAACCACGTACATGCAGTAGATAACCACGTACATACAGTAGATAACCACGTACATACAGTAGATAACCACGTACATACAGTAGATAACCACGTACATACAGTAGATAACCACGTACATGCAGTAGATAACCACGTACATACAGTAGATAACCACGTACATACAGTAGATAACCACGTACATAACCACGTACATACAGTAGATAACTACGTACATACAGTAGATAGCCACGTGCATACAGTAGATAACCAAGTACATACAGTAGATGACCACGTACATAACCACGTACATACAGTAGATAACCACGTACATACAGTAGATAACCACGTACATAACCACGTACATACAGTAGATAACCACGTACATAACCACGTACATACAGTAGATAACCACGTACATACAGTAGGATAACCACGTACATACAGTAGATAACCACGTACATACAGTAGATAACCACGTACATAACCACGTACATACAGTAGATAACCACGTACATAACCACGTACATACAGTAGATAACCACGTACATAACCACGTACATACAGTAAATACCGCAACATTGTATAGATATAATGTAAATATTTACTTAAATTATGTAGCACTGAATACATACGTCGTGTTATTATGTAATGAAGAAAAATGAAAAACGACAGCAAAAATGAAAAGAAAAAGAAGAAAGAAAACGAAGAAAGAAAAGAAATAGAAGAAAGAAAAGAAAAATGAAGAAAGAAGACAAAGAAAATATGAATTAGCTATATATTTCTATCTTAGTGTAGCGAGTGTAGTATGAGGAATATCTTTAAGACAACAATGAAAGAAATAATGAATAAGAAAGAACGAAAAAGAAAACAAAAAATGAAAGACTTAAGAAAATGAGATAATGAATAATTTACGAAAATATAAATGAAAGGAAAGATAAATATGAAAAGAAATTTGTAAACCAGACAAATGAAATAAAGATGAAAAAATAAACGAAAAGAACAAAAGAAAAAATGGAAAAAAATCAGGAAATGAGAATAGAAGAAAAATATAATAAATAAGTAAACAGGAGAGAGAGAGAGAGAGAGACCGGGGAGAGAGAGAGAGAGAGAGAGAGAGACAGAGAGAGAGAGAGAGTAAAACTAGCCGAGTCAACATAGCAGTGTTAATATAGCAAGACAATATATACTGTACAGCAAGGGACTATAATACTCATGGTGTACAATGACACACATGGTGCACTGTAACGCACATGGTGCACTATAACACACATGGTGCACTACAACACACACGGTGCACTATAACACACACGGTGCACAGTAATACACATGGTGCACTATAACACACACACACATGGTGCACTATAACACTCCCGGTGCACAATATAACCCTAGCACCTGATGTGGCTCGACTGGTTATTACACAAGGGTGACCCAGTGTGTTATTGCAGCATTTTCAGAAGTTGTTCTCATATGAGGTCTAATTATATTAAGGTTGCTAGTATAACGGTGCGTATAAATAATTACAGTGCTAGTAGATTATATTATTTACTTGTTGCTGTAGGGTTAGATTATTTTACTAGTATAAATAGGGCGTGGAATATTGCTAGTATAAATAGGGCTTGGAAATGATGATAGTCCTAGTAGATTACATTATTTACTAGTTCTACAGTATGTCAGATTATATCATCAGTACGTCAAGGTGTGGAAATGATTATAGTGCTAGTAGATTATATTCCTTACTAGTAATGTATCAGATTATATCACAAGTAGATTATACCATTAGATAATTATTTGCTATGAATCACATTATACAACTAGGAAACGTTATATAACTTGAGAACAACATATGCTATTAGAGAACTTGATGTGGAACAGAATTATACCACAAATTATATACGATTAGAATAGAGTATTATGTATAAAGGACACGTAATTTGTGACATGGTTAAGGTAGGGTGCGAGAGGACAGGGGTAGGGTGCGACAGAACTCAGATAGGGTGCGGGAGAACTCAGGCAGGGTGCGATATAACATACTGTATGTGGAGTGCGAGAGTACACAAATTAGGGTGCGACAGTAGACAAATTAGAGTGCGAAAGGAAGCTTGAGATAAGTAGAGTGTAGTTAGGGTGCGACAGTAGACAAATTAGGGTTAGAGTGCGAAAGGAAGCTTGAGATAAGTAGAGTGTAGTTAGGGTGCGACAGTAGACAAATTAGGGTGTGAAAGGAACTATGACGTAGAGCGAGTGTTGTTGACGTCAGAGAATGGAGCCACGAACTATTAAGCGGAGTAAAGGTTATGTGTTGAGAGGTGACCGATGGTTCTCTCCTGGATGGATTTAAAGCTTATCCACTCTATTGATTATAAGTGACAAAGTGCCCAAAAGTGGATACAAGTGATACAAAGTGGATAAAAGTAACAAAGTGCCTAAAAGTGGATATAAGTAGCTTAAAGTGCCTAAAATTGGATATAAGTGACAGAGTGGATAAAAGTAAGAAAGTGCTTAAAAAGTGGGTATAAGTGACAGTGGATAGAAGTAACAAAGTGCTTAAAAGTGGGGAGAAGTAAGATAAAGTGGATATAATGAACAAAATGCTTAAAAATGGATATAACTGACATAAAGTGGATAAAATTAGTATAAAGTGCCCTAAAAGTGGATATAAGTACGATAAAGTGAATATATGTAACATAGTGCTTAAAAAGTGGAGTTAAGTAACATAAATTGAGTATTAAACGGAGTGCATAAAAAGTGGATATAAGTGATAAAGTGCTTAAAAGTGGATATGAGAGCATAAAGTGCCTAAAAGTGGATACAAGTAACAGAGTGACAAAAAAGTGAATGTAGGCATCGCAAATTGCTTAAAAAGTTAAGTACCGATCATGTAAGTGATATAAGTGAGGAATATGTAAGTGAAGGTCAAGATACAAGTAGAAGACTATTTAAGTGTGGTACAGTGACAGAAATATAAGTGAATATCTTATTAAGTGTCTTATATATTCAGTGCCCATCGTATAAGTGTTGACCCTATAAAATGTTCATAAGTGACTCGAAAGTGAACAAATTATAAGTGAAAATCCTATAAAATAATCATAAGTGACTCGAAAGTGAACAAATTATAAGTGAAGACCCTATAAAATGATCATAAGTGACTCGAAAGTGAACAAATTATAAGTGAAGACCCTATAAAGTGACCAAAAGTGACTCTAAGGTGACCAAATTATAAGTAAACAGATTATAAGTGTTGATTAAGAAAAAATCTGAAAATCCCACGAAAAAATGGTAAATATTTCTACAGTAAAAGAACACAAGTGATAATGGACTAAAGGGAGAGGGGGAAGCACACTAGTGAACGTCGAATTGCCTAATGGGTCTCACTTCTAATGGGTGCTAGACCACAGCCAGTTCTAATGGTCCTAATGGTCTTAAAGGGTTGTTCAGTAAAAGCTCTATTTAACGAACTATGTAGAGATGAAAGTCCGTTATATAGAGGGTTTGTTAGATGTGAAACCCCCCATCTAACGAACTATGTAGAGATGAAAGTTCGTTATATCGAGGGTTTGTTAGATGTGAAACCTCCATCTAACGAACTATGTAGAGATGAAAGTTCGTTATATCGAGGGTTTGTTAGATGTGAAACCTCCATCTAACGGATTATATGGAGAGAGAAGTTCGTTATATGGAGTTTTCACTGTAGTCCTGAAATGTGCCCCAATTATAATGGTAAAATCTGATTAGGTTTTGGGCCTATTAAAAGTGGCCCCTATTAAGACTGCCTCCTATTAAGACTGGCTCATATTAAGACTGGCTCCTATTAAGACTGGCTCCTATTAAGACTGGCTCCTATTAAGACTGGCTCCTATTAAGACTGGCTCCTATGTTCCTATTAAGACTGGCTCCCATTTAAGACTGGCTCCTATTAAGACTGGGAGGTTCATTAAGACTGCTGGCACAGGAAACACATTTCAGGTCTTGGCTATAAATCCACAACTGGTGATGATAGCATATAGTATATCATCCTCTCTGACGCGTGTTATGTGGTGACTGCCATAACAACAGCCTCCTCCTCCTCCTCCTTCTTCTCCTCCTCCTCCTCCTCCTCCTCCTGCTCCTCCTCCTCCTCCTCCTCACCTTACTCTTCTTCTCTTCTTCCTCCTCTCCCTCCCCTTTCTCTTCCTACTCCTCTCCCTTCCCTTCTTCATCTTTTACTTCTTCCTTTTCATTTTCTTCTTTCTCCTCTTCATTGTCTTTTCTTCCTCCTCGCTTTCTTTTTCTTCTTCACTTTCTTCTTCCTCTTTACTTTCTTCTTCTGCTTCTTCACTTTCTTCTTCTTCCCTCTCACTTTCTTCTTCTTCCTCCTCACTTTCTTATACTCCTCCTCCTCATACACTTATTCCTCCTCCTTCTCTCCCTCCTTCAGGATATTCATGAGTGACATTAGTAGAAGCTCCAGGGGTCCTTCACCAATAAGGTATTATAGTGACGGGGGTAACAATCCTCCAGGTCTTGGCTGCAGGATATTGGATATGGCGCCGTGGATTTAGATAACTTCCCTTTGTTTTTAATTATTTTTACTAGATTATTTGACTAGATTGATTGTTTGAGAATACCGTGTTCTGTGTTTTCCGGTATAAAGACTCGTTGGTATGTTGAAGTGGGTTATTTACGATGGTTGATGTAAATATTCCCTGTGTATATTAGTAAACGTAATATATGAGCTTTATATCTGAGAAATAAGGCCCGGGGTTATACAGGGTGTCCATAAATGATTACCCTAAAAACAGTATGTTCTCGTGTTTTAATCAGGGTAATCACTTCTGGACACCCTGTATATGTAAATACTTGATAACATGATTCTTAGTTTGGTGTAGGTCAGGGAAGGTTATTTTCCGAGTTTGGCAGCCTCGCCCTACTCCCAGCCGTGTACTGATCCCTGAACTAATCACACGGTAACAGGTTCATGAATATTCGTGTGTCGGTGTGATACCCTCGGGGGCTGGCGGGCGGTGTGCAGTCCTCTCTCAACTCTCTCCAAAAATGTAGCCGAGAACCTTCTGATTTTTCTAGTCATTCGTGTGTTTGTTAATGGATTGTGGATGTAAAGTTGTGACAATAGATTTCTCCGATATTAACGAGTGTCTGCTTTTTTATTTGGTCTTGTATTTAATAACCAGAGATATGACGGTGTGTTTGCCTTACTCTTGCCAAGGATCGTCTTCGTATAATTTTTCACAATATTTCGTTCTGTAGGTCAAGGAATAGCGAGCCCAAACTCTCGATCAAGTGTTCGAAAATAAGGCCAATCTGAAATCGTTTTTCACCCCCAACACAAAAGAGAAAATGACGAACAAAATGATAAAGTAGAAGAGGAGTAAGAAAGGAACATTGATGAGATAGAAAATTAGGATCTATCGATAACTTGTGAAAACTTACCACCACTTATTGCGAAGTTTTCGTAAAGTTAGTTCACAAGTCAGAGTCATTTGCTAAAATTAAAGTTTGAGTTTTTCATTCGTAGACGCTGTAGTTGTGGCTATTATTGATACACTGTCATATTAACTTTGAATTTTACAAACTACGCTTTTCTGATTTGATGTTTACATTATGCATTCCCTAAACTGTTACCTTCGACTGTTTTATAAAATATTAAACATTTATTAAAGAATATCATTGTAACATGAATTAGTATATGTGATATTTTCATTATATCTTGTGATTCTCAAGAAAGGCAGAAATAAGGCATCACCTTAGTGTATAATGTATAGTACTTTATTTATCATTGTACGGGAGGACAAGTGGTCTCAGTGCTTGGTCTAGACAGGGCGGCTTAGGTTAGGTTAGGTTAGGATAGGTCATGCTAGGTTAGGTTACGTATTAGATTAGGTTACATACAATCAGGTTATATTAGGTTATACTATGTAAGGTTATATTAGGTAAGGTTAATAGTGATCAGAAGGTAATGACTCACACTTTAGGCTCTCTGGCAGAGGGACTTGATCCACTTGGAGTTATTGATGAGGTGGGATAATGAGAAGCAGTCTGGAGCCTATGTGAGGTGACGCGACGCCAAAACACCACACAGTTTGATCTTACCTTTGACCTTTAATGTTAATGCAAATTGAATGTGTTTGAGGGTTGAATGTTGAACGTTAAAGACGTATGTAAGTTCTTTTTAACATCAAGAATAAAAACTGTATATAATATTTATTGGACATTTTTACCAAGTTGAATATTAGCGAGGTTTATTTCCTTGATCCGGCCACTGTGAATCCGTCATCAGCACACCGACCCTAGCACGAGATCATTTTACCTGAGGGTGAATGAGGGTTTAAAATATCCCCCCCCACCCCACCCCTAAGCAGACACACTGACCCACTCCACAGATAGTTTTGATACACTGCCCACTAGAGCCACCTCCCCCCACCCCCCCCCCAACACCCCCTCTCCTGACGGCGTGTTCCATTTTAAGAGCTCCAGACTGCGGGGGTGGACAGGGAGGTACTGTTAACAGATGCCAAGGAATACCTCTTAAACATGAATCGAATCTGGGCCACCCAAGAGGTGTTTGTTCGGGGGGCAGAATCTCAAGTTTGTTACGTAGATATATCGGGATGATTAACACGTGTTTTATCTTTTGACTTTGTATGTGTCGCTGTTGCGTATCATGATATAGCCGTTACCTTCTGTCTGTCTGACTGTCAGTCACCGTCACCTGTCTGTCAGTGTGGTAGTTGACGTTGCACACAATAAAGACTACTTAACTGTCTTAAGTATTTATATAGCTTGTGACTGTTGATGGGAGACCATTACGACTAAGTGGATGGAACATGTTTAATGTAGAAGGCGGGGGGGGCGTGGAGGCGTGGTGAGGATGATATGGGCGTGCGTGGAGAAGTCGTGGGTGAGGGTATGGGCGTGGAGGAGGCGTGGGTGAGGATGATATGGGCGTGGAGGAGGCGTGGAGAAGGCGTGGGTGAGGATATGGGCGTGGAGGAGGCGTGGAGAAGGCGTGGGTGAGGATGATAAGGGCGTGGAGGAGGCGTGGGTGAGGATGATATGGGGGTCGGAGGCGTGCGTGGGGATAACATAGGCGTGGAGGAGGCGTGGTGGGGGATAACATAGGCGTGGAGGCGTGAAGGCGTGGAGGCGTGGAGTGAGGCATAGTAGGCGTGGAGGAGGCGTGGGTGAGTATAACAGGCGTGGAGGAGGCGTGGGTGGGTGATCGGGTAAAACACAGTAAGCCGTTGGATACACTCAGTCGTGTTCACAAATATAGAAGTGTTGGCAGAATCGAGTGAGCTCAGGGTGTAGGGTGGGCGATATATGAGTGGGTGTTGGATGGATGGTGTATGGGTGGGATTTGTATCTGTGGGCTCTGTGTGGGTGGGGTGGGTTTGTATGGGTGGGTAGACATATGAGCTGAAATTGGTCGTGGGTGGGAAAAGGTGGGTCTTTATTTGAGGGTGTAGGTCGTTGGGTGGGCTGTGGGCGGGTGGGTAGATAGACTGGTGAGAGGGGTGTCATGGGTGGAACAGGGTGTGACGGGGTGTGTGGGTGAGGATAATTCCGAGAGCTCATTGGACGGAACGGGGCGGGAACTAGCTGTTGTTAAGAGTGTAGGTGCGGCTGAGAGTGAAGGAGGTTGTGGTTTATTATTATTATTATTATTATTATTATTATTTACTGATAGTCTTATACGTTCATCTTATAAAAGTAATAAATGGTTGGTATAATCTGACTTTGGTGAAGGGAAAGTATCCGCTCCGTCGTATGATGTGTTATAACTGAGTGGTCGTTGAAGCATATTACTCAATTATTTGTTTAAGATATCGTTGAAATAATAGAATTTTCTTTAAATATCTTTCATTTTCACCAATGTTTAAGGTGTCACTTTTACATTAAATATTGTAAAGTTACTTATTTTACTTTAAACGCCATTAAAAGTGTCTAAGCATGCTAGAATTATAAGTGTGGTATAAGTGTGGTGCCAGTGTGGTGTAAGGTATGTTCACCTTGTACTGCAGGTAAAGATGTACTAGGTAGGAACAGAGCCATTAAAGCTGCCGTACTGTGTTATGGCGGTAACAGGTGGTCACCGTCACTCCTGACATTATCAGTTAAAGCATTACAACAATATCATACAGCTACTTTTTTTAATTAACGTCCTATTGAAAGCGGGAAACAGTCGTGTCTCTTTTTTTTTTCATACCGTCTCTCTTTTTTTTTCGTTCAATGACACAATGACACTGCACTATTACTAAAGGACATAACAACAACAATAGCAGAATCCATGGAAAGAAAAGCATTCTCTGTTTAGGGAAAAATATCAAGTAGAACAGTGTGCGTTTGAAAATGTCGGCGGGGGAGAATTGTGGGTCTGGCCGCCATTGTCCAACGCTGGCGACAAAATTCCACCGCCAGATAGAAAAACTCCTGCTTTTCCGACTTGGGTAATTTATACTGCAAAGGTTGGAACACTCCCACGCCGCACCGCTCTCAGTGTTCCTTTTGTATTGTACAAATATTTAACACCGTGTCCAATTATTCATTGTGATATTCCAATAAAACTATTGATACAGGATAATTAAAATATCAAAATTCACAGTGTGGAGCTGAATCATCACACCACTATCGAGTAGAATTGTTTAACCAAATGTGTGGGGAAAGAGTGACCCACACACACCAAGGGAAAACATGACAAATTCAGGTGAAAATTTATTGAACAATGTTGAGGTGGACACTAAGGGTTGATATGTATAGTGATGAGGCAAGTTAGGAGTACCTAATGCTGTTATGACGGGGAACCTCCACGCTGAGGACCTCTTCTTCAGGAGGCTAAGAGTGTCCTTGCTCCTACCCACCATACCCAGACTGCCTGCCATCACCAAGAACCTGTCCTATAGACGCCACAGGAAAGAACGCGTCCCAATGAAGACACAAACAAAGTAAAACGTCCCAATGAAGACACAGCCAAGAGAAGTTCTTGGTTGATTCACGAGGGACATAACATAACACTGGCTCTTGTTGGTGGAGGCTCAGAGTCCGTCAAGCCCCCCAGCCAGGACCACCAGTTAAGGAAGCAACATTGTGACACGCCCAAGAGCTTATGGATGGACTAGTAAGTAAAATTCAAGAAATTAATTTATTCATCATTAAAAGGAAGTTTATTATATGTTTTATTAAATTTTGTACTAATTATTTTATATTAATTTTAGATCATAAACTCTTACTGTTATTTGTTTTTCTATCACATAAGCATAATTTAACATAAAAACCCAATCTCTGACATTTTGGACATTTTCTTTGTATAATTACGTTTATTTAGTAATTGAATGATTTTGTATCAGGCTTTAACTTTAGAAAAACTGAAGAGATTATTTTTTTGATCTTCGCATGAGAGTCAAACATTATGGCAAAGTATTAAATTAATTCTATACTATACAGATTATCTAACCTAACCTAACCTAACCTAACACCTCTATCAACCAACGCCACTACCAACCATTACCTCTTCACCTTCAGGATTTTTTTATAGGAGCTGCAGGTGGAAAGGTAGAGGTGCGACAGGTAGATAGGTAGAGGTGCGACAGGTAGATAGGTAGAGGTGCGACAGGTAGAAAGGTAGAGGTGCGACAGGTAGATAGGCAGAGGTGTGACAGGTAGATAGGTAGAGGTGAGACAGGTAGATAGGTAGAGGTGCGACAGGTAGATAGGTAGAGGTGCGACAGGTAGAAAGGTAGAGGTGCGACAGGTAGATAGGTAGAGGTGCGACAGGTAGATGGTAGAGGTGCGACAGGTAGATAGGCAGAGGTGTGACAGGTAGATAGGTAGAGGTGAGACAGGTAGATAGGTAGAGGTGCGACAGGTAGATAGGTAGAGGTGCGACAGGTAGAAAGGTAGAGGTGCGACAGGTAGATAGGTAGAGGTGCGACAGGTAGATAGGTAGAGGTGCGACAGCAGGTGAGGTGGTAAATGCCGTGTCACTCTGGTCGTGATGAAGGTGGCGTCACCTGTCATACCCGAGGTGATCTCTCAAGTCATCAATTCCTCGGTCGACTGAACTCAGTGTATCAACGCCGGGACGTATGGAGGGGTGGGGAAGGGAGGGGTAGGGTGGGGTTGGGAGAGGAGGGGAAGGGGTGAAAGGACGGGTGGGAAAGGGTTAAGGGAAGGGTGTGGAGAGGGGAAAGACGGTGAAGAAGAAGAAGGTTTTTCACGATATACACACACACACACACACACACACACACACACACACAAGCTCTTACTGTGTACTCTAATTGCATATGATTCTTATACGTTAAAAAAAAGAACAAAACGTAATCAAATGTCCATATACACAAAGCAATCCTGATCAGTCCTTTGAAATATCACGTCAAGAGCTGCTAAAGTGATCAGTCCCTCTCAACAGTGGAATGGTGACGTTCTTAACTCATGAAAATGTTTAAATTACGTAACTTATATAATTGGTTTTTTTTTCAATTATGTGTGATATCTAAACATCTTACCTGGCATTATTATATGTAGAGTAATGTGTTGTTGCTTACACGTGTGATATGTATCTATTGGTTCTGGTTTTTTCACTGTAATGCATTTTGTAGTTTTGAATGAATTGAGTTACAAGTGTCATTATTAAAGATTATATTAATGTTTTTTTTTCTGAATCAAAGGAAAAACAATAATCGTATCTAATAATCATATAATCGTGATTTATTTATTTATTGGTCAATTTCAATCACCATATTGCAATCTTTACTGACCTGACTAATGAATTTTTTCGCCAATGCCAGATTTATTTATTTTTGTTCAAGTACGTTTCCAAAGATCTTGTAATGTAGAGTCACTCAAACAAGTATCTATACAAAATTGTATCTAAAAAATATGACACAGCAGACGAAGGATTTTGACAACCCTACCGAGACAACAGGAGTCACAGTGTTCATTGTGAAATTCATCGATCACCCCGAGTACAGATAGTTTTTTTGGAGTGATTACATAAACCCATCAATGTATTTACATATTTACTTTTGTATCTGAGTCATTGTTTGATTTAACCCCCCCCCCTCTCTCTCTCTCTCTCTCTCTCTCTTATTATGTATTCATGCTGTTATATCTATATGTCTTTCCCTTCCTGATCTCTCTCTTTCTCTCCCTTCGTTGTATAATACACTATTTCCATCTCCGTCTGTCTCAACCATGAATTTTGTCGTCACATCATCTCGTTAACTATATCTTTCTTTTCATTCCTTAATTTCTACATTCCAACAAATTGGAATGTAATGCCATCACTAAAAAACAAACAAAAACAAGAACACGTCAATTCCCACCAAAACCTGACAACAGAGAGAATTAAAAAAAAAAAAACCCTCAAAAATTCTCACCAAATATTTTTTAACACCGCTATTCATTTCCCACCAATTTTGGGTAGTGGAGCGAGGCGCCATCTTGGTGCTCTATCACCCAGCATCACAACCGCGGGAAAATAAATGACTCGGTCGTAAGAATTTGCATGATAAAGCAGCCAGCATATGGAAGTGGCTCGATTAGGTTGTAAATTCGAAAAAGATATAGGTATTAAAAAAAAATGAGTGTTTAGGAAGGTGTTAAATAATACCTAAGGGAGACGCTTACATAACTTGAGCTGTGGTTAGACGTATGTTTGGGGGGTTCAGTGTTATACCGCATCTCTCTACTGCTGGAGCTTCAGGTGATACCTTCTTCAGGAGTTTATTACTGGAGCGGAGGAATGACACCCTATATACTTTGAGGGAGGGAGAAGGGAGGTGAGAAAGGGAGAGACATAGAGGGAGAGGAGGAGAGGGAGGCAGAGAAGGTAGGAAGAACAAGGAGGAATGATTGTTTGGTTTTTATTATTTTTTTTTCCGAATATAAAGAAAATTATTGGTTAAGGTGTAAAATGAATGTTATGTTTCTTCTCTCTGGTTTGGGTTACCGTCTGTGGAGAATGTTTATATCGGGTGTATGTTTATGTGACCGCCGTTTATGGGTGTTAATGGTATGCTGGATAATGTTTACAGTATGTGTGGTGTGTCCAAAGAGGTAATGTTTAGATAAGCACTGTTTATATGGGCATTATCTCTGTGTGTGGAATTATTATTATTTTTTGGATGGACAGGTGGGCGGGGGGGGGTGTTTTGAGACAGAGTTGCTGGTAGCGATGTTTATGCTGGTAGCGATGTTTATGCTGGTAGTGTGTTTTTGTTCAAAGTTTATGGGGAAAGTTTATGTTGAGCACTATGTGGTCGATGTTTACGTGAAGAGTTTTGATGTGGCAGCATAATAAGTTCCATGGATCAGAAGTCCCATTTGAGAGAGAGAGAGGACAAAGCACACTTCGGTATATTAAGCCTTTGGTGATAACATAGGTTCTCACTGCTCCTTAATGCCCTTCCCTTCCTCAAGTGTATAGCTGGTGTGAACTGAAGATCCCATGGGCGCGAACCAGTGACCCCGTTGGACATAAAGCAAATGTTGTAGCCACTCAGCCACCGTAATCCAGAATGTATATGTAAGAAAATAGTGGCGGTTAAGTGGATAATATTTATATAGGCATTTTGTAATTGTATCCAAGTGCATATCCTTACATGTATGCCATATGTACCATACACATGTACTGTATCGACACTACCATATACCATCGTGTTTTTAGATGCAATTTCTTTCATCAAATTCTACCATAGTTTACTTAATTTTTTTCTACTTTCAACATAAACTACCGATATAATATGTCATCACACTCACTATATCTTCACACTTTCAAATTAAAAAAAACAAAAACAAAACCACACAAACTGTTTACCCCTAAAACACACACAAACACACTAGTACATAAATAATGGTGCTGTTTGTTTCATAAATTTCACTTTATTGCAGTAAAACTCACACTGTGTATATTTTTTCAACATTATATAAAACAGTTTAAAAGGTCATTATGAGGCTCCATATAGTTTATATACCAGGAAATAGTACACACATACACATTCTCCACCTGGGATGAGATAACTGTATACAGCACCAACCTAACATAGTCCAGGACCCAAAAAATAATAAATGACAAAAATAAACTTCTGGGTTCCATATGCAAATTAATAAAGGTGTAAATAATTTCAGTGAGTGACAATAACTACACAGACAAATTATATAATTCACATATTATCGAATACTTGAGTAAGTGACTGCATAGATTTCTAAATATACGAATTATCAGTTAATTATCAGTTTTACGAAATAACGCATTGGTTTACATATGTATTAGCGTACAAAAACCTTGACACTTTTAAGAATTTTCGGATATATGATATACCCAAAAAGATATAACGAATATACCATTATAACGAATAAATAAATGACCACGGACCGAATATGGGTTATTAATATATGAACTGACGAAAATAACAATGTTTATATACGAGTTAGCGACGATACGGATAACAGAAGGCTGCAATTATGTATGAGAGATTATACACGATCGTGGGCGGGATTATATACTGTACTCTGTTCCTGGGCTGGATTATATACTGTACTCTGTTTCTGGGCGGGATTATATACTGTACTCTGTTCCTGGGCGGGATTATATACTGTACTCTGTTCCTGGGCTGGATTATATACTGTACTCTGTTTCTGGGCGGGATTATATACTGTACTCTGTTCCTGGGCGGGATTATATACTGTACTCTGTTCCTGGGCGGGATTATATACTGTACTCTGTTCCTGGGCTGGATTATATACTATACTCTGTTCCTGGGCGGGATTATATACTGTACTCTGTTCCTGGGCGGGATTATATACTGTACTCTGTTCCTGGGCGGGATTATATACGGTGTGCCTGTACTCTGTTCCTGGGCAGGATTATATACTGTACTCTGTTCCTGGGCTGGATTATATACTGTACTCTGTTTCTGGGCAGGATTATATACTGTACTCTGTTCCTGGGCTGGATTATATACTGTACTCTGTTTCTGGGCAGGATTATATACTGTACTCTGTTCCTGGGCGGGATTATATACTGTACTCTGTTCCTGGGCGGGATTATATACTGTACTCTGTTCCTGGGCGGGATTATATACTGTACTCTGTTCCTGGGCGGGATTATATACT